TTATAACAAGAATTTAATAATGGCTCATAAACATTGAATTCAGAGTTATTAAAAATTGTGTGAGGGATGTAATTACGTACCTTCCAACATATTTGAAATTAAGTTCGAAGAGCGTTCTCTGCCTGCAGAAAAATACCTGAAATTCCTTCTTTTTGAAGTGCATGATTTTTCAGCCACCCACATTTAATAAATAATGTGCGATAACGTCCTTTCATTGATTAATATTTGGAGCACAATTTTGTTATCTCCCTTTATGGTTTACTAAATTAATTTGCAGAAATCATATAACAAAAGTTGCACACGGCTGTGAATGGCGATCCTGGGATTGGTGTTTTACATTGCTGTACAATTAATTCCATTTTATAGAATCCCTGGGACCATATCTTTTTGTATTATTATTTCATTTACATAAATGTTCTCTGGAAAAACAACTTGTGTCGTAATTAACAGTGTTTTTGATTTGTAATTGTGATTTTGTAAATACCATATACCTAATAGTACTATATTGCTAGCGCTTCAGAAGTAACATAGAAACGGTGTTCACGGACAGAGAGAGACAGAAGATGTTGTTTTCTGTCTATAAGAGTACCGAGGGTCTGTGCGCATGTACACAAAATAGAAGCGAAAGTACGAAATGTCAAAACGCATCCAGTCACGCTATCCACTACAAATCAACCAAGTACGAGTGCATGCGCAGTACTGTTTGGTACCACAGAGAGACAGAGAGGTCCGATATAATGCTCTACCGTTATGTTTTCGGAATCTTTTGAGGCCTGTTAGCAATATAGTACTATTAGATATATGGTAAATACACATTTAATTAAGTTATTGATTACCACGGTTGATTTCCAAGCAACAAAAAAACATACATATATAATTGAATAAACCCTTAAAATGTCTGAAACTGGTTAAGACTAGCTGCGATGGTCAACGCATTATCCCCACCGCAAGTATGAATCAGAGATACCGTAACCGATAAACGTAACAAAACCTAACCCGTCTTCCCAAAAGTTTAAAAACATTCTAAAAAAATCCCCACCAGGAGTTTAAACTAAACAAATATGAAACAATAAATTGACAAAATAATAAATTTTACTTTTCATTTAATGTTACAATTTAAAATTATTTTCACAAGTGTTCTGATTAAAAGTTGTATTACAAATTTAATTTTTGTATTAAAAAAAAGAAAAAAATGTAATAGGATTTAAATAATTAAATAAGGTCTTTTTGACAAACACTTTACAAAATATTTGCACAAAAACATTTGTTATTTGTTTTGATTTTGTGTATAGTAAAAATTAAATAGTATTTGAATTTATTTATATCTATGAATGTTGAAACTGTCCCAAGCTATATTTTTATAATATTTTTGGACTTGTCTCTCTTTCTCTCAGCGTCAATTTTTTTTGTGGTATATCCTAATAATAACAATACCGAAGAACCTATTAGAATAAGCCACTACAAATTTGATGTCAAAATGAAGTTGAGACAAAAGCTCTAAAATACAGGATACCTTTCACGTGTTTTGTAGGCGTGCTCGAAATTCTACGGTACAAAAAAGTGACAACTGTTGTTAAAGAAATGTGTTCAATATCATTTTTGTATTTTTTGGAACGAATCTAAACTTATTATATTAAACATGATTTAACATTATTTAAAATGAATAAAATTTGTAGTAGTTTCGGAGTATATCTCTCGAATAAAAATCGACACAGACGACAGACGGCAGGTAGACACACGGAAACGGGAGATCTATTGTTTCAAGCTGTAAGGGTCATGAAAAATGTCGAGAAAACATGAAAGTAACTATTCACCGAATGGATATCACATACATAGCTTATGCTCGAAAAGTAAAAATACAGAATTTTCGTTTAACGCCATTTTAAGTGGAATTGACAGACGAACTCTCACAGGCAGTTATTTATTTACTTAATCGATTGTTGGCTGAATCAGAAGTAATTATTACGGGACCCCATTTCCATAAAAAGTAAAATAAAAAAATTGGTCAAAGGTTACTTCGACAGAACTTCCCTCGCTCTTGAAGTACAGTCCGACAAACTCCGCTTCTTCGAAAAATTGTAAAATTTTGTTTTCTGATAACCTTTATACTTATATTAGAAACCACTCGTGGAGATGCGGTTCGCAGACATACGGACAATATGAAATATATTTAAAGCAAATAACCAACGGAAGAGTGTTTTCAATGTAATTAGTATTATTCTTATTTGATCGTAATTAAATGGTTCTTAATTTGATCAATAATAAATTGGTCGAAGGTTATAAGTATAATCCGATTTTCGTTTTGCGATAACCGCTGTAAAGTAAAAACCAGCAGCATAAATAACACCCCCGCAGCCTTTGTACCATACGGACAATGTAGAATATATTTAAAGCATATAAGTAACCTGATAAAATGTCCTTCAGCACTCGGTAATAGCAATCTGAAGCTCAAGTGTTTATTTATGTTTAAGTATACATCGAAAGAATGTCACGTAGAAATTATTTTGATTTGGATGAGTTTGTCTTCTCAAAACACAGGACTAAAATTATTATTAATTAAACCACAATCGAACAAAATGTTCTGAATATTATAATTCTTGTTTTATCATTAATATTATAAAGACGTGTTTTTCACATTTTCGAGAAAATGGTGTGACTCGTTCTTAATTTGACCAATAAAAAATTTGTAATGACGTCATGAACATGAGTAATACTAGTCACAGCACAAAAACAAAGTAGTCGCAGAGTATTACCAATGCAAGATAAAAAAGTAAACGGCCAAAAGTTCAGTATCAAACCCACTACCGCATGTCGCACGGCTTCGCCGCAGGTCTTCTTGTACCCGACTTAGTCACTGCGCCACGGGGACTTCCGTCAGGTGTTGGTACTATGACGTATACTTGTCCAAAAGATATAAGGTTATATGACCATCATAAAAGTAGTTGACCGCAAATAAATACCCCCTTTGTGTGGTTCGCACTAAGCTTACCGGTTGGCAATAAATCCTCTTCTAAACAATTCTTGCTCACATTTAACAGGGTCGGCTTTCAAAGAGAGTGGTTATTTCAGAACCCTCAGCGGCTGCAGGTAGTAAAGAAATAGTGGAGTGGTGGATTTTCATATTTAGTGAAAGTCGCTCCTGAACGAAACCACAACAGCCGGTCGAGCTGCAATGGGCACGTTATTTACGACCCTAAAACCTTTTCTATTGTAAACAACTTAACTTCGACACAATGGGATGATTTTATGATGGCCATATAACCTTATAGCTCTTGGTCCACTATAATTATTATACGTTGCAAATGTTTTTGTGAAAATTCGAACATTTAGCGAAAAAGCTGAAAGCAGATTCGTATACAAGTATGCGAGTATATTTTTGTATACTCACAACATTTAAATCATTTTCAAATACAATTCATTGAAATGACGTCATGACGGTTGATAGGGATGATTATACGAATTTTGGGTAGCATTTAACCACCTACTTGATACTTCTAATATTGTCACGAAACTGCTAGTTGCCCTAGTTAAGTAAAGATTGCCTCATGCCATGCTTGTGGGATGTCAGCAAAAACCTCTTTTTGCTGGCATTACGGAAGTTTAGGTGGGGGGGAGTGCGGACTGACGAAAGGGGCAGTCGGTACTAACTAGGGACAGGGGAAGGAAAAGTGAGAGAAGTGAAGTGATGCACCATACCCCCTAAGGATGGAATTTGTAATGTAAGTTGAAATATATTTAGTTTATTTAATGTATTTGGGATTTTTATTCTTAACGTCGGATCGGGTAATTATCCTTAGCTCTACCAATCTCTTCCCCGACCCGGTCGTGACAATATACTTATAAAATTTGACAACAATCGGTGCAGCAGTTTCGGAGATTATGTGTCGCATAAAAATGGATACAGACAGACAGACGAAAACGGGAGACTACTTTTTTCGTACTATAGGGGTCATGAAACGTCGAGAAAACATAAAAGCAGCATTTCGCCCGGTGGGCTCAATTATTATACGTCCTTAGCTTACCCTCGGGAAGTAAAAATCTAATTTTTGTTTGAGCTGAAACATAAAATTTATTTAAATTTGTGTTGTATATATTTTGTTACAAAGTAATAATATACTGTATTTTAATTTATGTAATAAAAATCTAAGATATTCAAAAATATCGATGACATCATAGTTCCCTTATAACTTTCTTTTACAAATTTTGTTTCGATGATACGATGTGTACGCTTCAGTACAACTTAACTTTAACAAAGTTTTCAGAAATTAATTATTTGCCCTAAAATAGCCCTAAACATCCAATCAAAATATGTAGGTAATTTTTAAACTTGTTGACTTGTTAACAACGTATCATCCTATAAAACTCTGATACAAACAAAAATATTTTAATAAGGTTAATTTTATTATGTTTTTTTGTTATGACAGTTGTTCCGTGTTTAACTTGTGACCAAAAACTGACGTAAGAATTTTTTTCATGACGCTCTCTGTGTCTTCATTAAGCATAATCCATTGCGAAACAAGACCATAAAAACCACCACAAAGTCCACACCGTCTCAAACCCAAACAGCAAAACACCCGACCGCATTCTTGGCCTTCGCAATCCGTTCCAAGGAAATCTTGTATAATCTTAACCTACACTATTGTTTTGATAAAGTCTAAACAACCGTTAAAAATAAGCCACCATAAGAGCAAACGAAAATAAGACAAGTATTTGAATTTGTGTACTGTTATGAATGACTTACAGCTGTCGAGTAGTGTGTGAAAACCTCTGTCAAAACAAAGAAAAAAAAAGCGGCGCAGTAAACGGCACACTGGAACGATAATTTTTTTCGAAAAGAGAAACAACTGAAACAGTCTCATAACCCTTGTCTGCGAATTTCCGGGCGGACCGGAATTCGTAAATGCGTTAAGCCCGGAAGAAAAGCTCTGGCGCGAGCGCACTGTACAGTTGCGCTATCTTCAAACGTTCGGTGTTCGCAACTCAGTTTCCGCACCGTCTTCGTGAAAGCGGCGCGAAAAATGCAACTGTTTTCCGACAGAGCGAAAGTTTAGTTGCGCAAATTTGAGTGAGTTCGTTTGGAATGTCGCGGAAGGATTTTTTGGTGAGCAATAGCGGGCCATGAGCTTCAGGTGGGACACTTTCGGGAGCTTTAAGGTATTTGTGGTTTTTGAAAAAGTTTCAGAGTGTGTGAAAAGAATGCTGCGTTATTGGCTTATTGGCCTTTTACATTTATATTATTGGGCAAATGTGAATGCGGAAGAGGTGACACTTGAAGTTTAATCAGTTTTTCAAAACTGTAAATTGTAAGTAAATTTCGAAGGATTTTGGGGCGGGGGGGATTACATTGTTTTTGAATATTTTGTAGACTTGCGCTAATTTGTTTCAGTTTATCTTTGCATCCATTTCTTTTGAAGCAAGACTAATAATATGCACTTCCGGAACATTTTTTAAGAAACCTATTAATACATATTTTTTTTAAAATGACGTCAGCAAATTTTCGAATGATAGGATTAGACTAATTTTATGCAACATTTAAGTAAAAATTTCAGGGAAAATAGCTACTATAACAAAAACGATAATTTGGCAAAATTGAGACTCTAGATTATTGTATTTATGTATGTATCTTTTAATTTTTAAATTTATATATGTATATTTATTTATTAATTGCGAAACCAACAAAGTGTCTATTTTTAAACAATTCTCGACAATTAACTGTTTAAATAAAGTAAAAAAAAATGTTGTGTAAAATAATTTATTGTACATGTGTTTCGGTACAAAGTGCCATCTTCAGACAGTGACAGATTTGTGATTCTATGGGTGTAAAGAATTTTTGTGAATCGTAGTGTCGGTGTGCGTAGGTTTATAACAGATATTAAATTTATGATAAGTTTTATGGTGACCAATGCTGAGATCTAGGAAATTAATTAATTATTTTCTATTTCAATTGTAAATTTAATTTTACTATGTAAAGAATTAATATAATTATGTAATATGTCCGATTCTCTACTAGTAGCATTAAATAAAACAAACAACAATGTGATCTGCATACCTAAACCAATCCATGCATTCTTTGCATAAATTATGACTGGAAATTAATAAATGTAGTAAATTAAATATGAGTACGGTAATTTGATCCGAAATACGTGTAGCAATATTTTACGAGAAAATATTATATAATCAAAGAAGTGTTTTATTTTGTTAAAAAGTTAAGTGTCTAGTTTGGTTAACTATCTCGACAAGATTAATGCCAACCAAATTAATTTACTTTTGCAAAAGATAAAACTTTGTTTTCTTAAATAGGACAGTTTGTCAAGTTAAAAAGTTTTTTGTAAGAAAAAGTGCAAGAACAACTTTAAAAACCGAATTTGTTTAAGATTCTATAGCATGCGGTTTTTCAATCAAAACGTTTTAAGTTGATGTAACATTAGTTTTTGACGTCTTGGCAACATTCGGCTAGTCCATCTGAGTGAAAAAAATCGAGCAAAATATTTAGTTTTCTATACTTAAAATGGATACCTGCATAAATGTATGGATACAACTTCTTCGAAACATATATCATCACTAACTTCTTGAGATGCCTACTTTTTGATTGGGAAGATTTGCCAACATAAAACGCCTTTTAAAGGAGTATTAATTTTCTTCATTCTGTCTTTAAACGTGTGTGGAATTTGGACACTGTGATTCTTATTTCTAAAAAAAAATATGTGATAAATATTCGTAATTAGTAGTCCTAAGTAGTGAATTAGTATCACATTATTTCCTAGGTAACGTAATAATGCTCGTAATTATAATAATCATAGATTTACATGCATATGCCGTTAAGTGTGCGACTAAAAATAGTCCCCACATAGTTACAGCATACGAAAACATTCTATATACATAAACGTAATACAGACAAATAAATAGTCAATTATTTATATCTAGTTTGTTGAATTTACATTATTGTAAACATTTTGGGATTAATGATTTTCAATATTTTCAGTCAGCTGTCTGTGCTAATACGGTTTAAAGCCATTTATCTCTAAAACGTAAAACAAAATATTGCTTAACTTCATTTTTTTTTTCAGAAACTTCTAAAACGTTACTTTAATACATATTATTATCATCTTCCAAATTACTTTAAAATTGAAAAGTATGTCGGAAACAAATTTGTAAATTAATAATTAAAATTAATTATTTTTTCTACTTCGCATTCATAACCGAACTATTAAATCACCCAAATTGGATATATACTTGGATTAAAGCCAGGATTGTCAGGCAAAGGGATTTGTCATAACATTTTGGTGAAAATTACTTTTACCGCTAACAGTTTTACTGTGACGTGATTCATCTAATTGCACCAGTGGAGCTCTAGAAGTCTAGAGCATACCAAACATATCGGGCAATTTTCCGTATTTTGGAAGACGTAATATTGTCTTCAACTTCACGCATTGCTGATAATAAATTATTCTGAATATTATTTAAACTTCAAATATTGCCACAAAATATCTCAAAATTTTTAAAATTCCAGCTTTTATTTTAAAATGAGAAAAAAAGTGCGAAGTAGAAAAAATAGTATAAAATACACGTTTGATAAGACAGTTTAGAGCAGTAGTCTGTTGTTTTCTGGTATTCGTAGTCTAAAATAACATACTTAATGTAAAATTATTTTTTAATATACTATTATAGCTTCTGTTTTTATTATAACAGGAAACACGTTTCTGTTGGTGGCAAGTATGGAATTGTTTGCTAAATAATTCCATGGAGGAAACTTTAAAAGAATTTTTGCCGGGGTCCAATTTTAGGAAATACAATTTTATAAATAAATGTAACAAATAACTATGCTGAAATGAATTCTTAACTACATCTTTTTATTTGGAATTATTCGTTTGTGTAATTCTGATTTTGAAACAGTGAATCTTGCGCTTTACGATCAGGGTGACATTCGACCGTGAAGCTGTTTATGTATTACATACAGGAATTAAAAGTTTTATGAATGTATCTGCCTATTATTATTAGTAGGTACCATAATCCTAAAACTCCGAAGTGAAATGTTCCAATTGTCCCTATTTGAGAACCAAACTTAAATATTGCAAATTACAGTACTTATTAAATGCAAATTTTGAAGTAATCCTTTTAACACTTGTACAATTAGAGAAAGAATTGAAAATAGTTCAGTAAGTTTCACAAACATAACATTGTTGAACAAAAAAGAATTCTTGACTGTCTGAGAGTTCTTTGACGATTTTACTAGATATACAAGGCGATTGCGAAATACATGCAAAAAAAAAATGGGGAATAGCTCACAATATGATTATGTCACTGGGTAAAATTCACGGTCCTAAGTAGTAGCAGTGTCTAGAAAAAATTATTTGAAATTAAATGTAAATTGTTGTACACGCCGCTGAACTGTTTTGTGACCTACATAATTACTACAATGAATGGAATAGAGCGAGTCGGATTAAAAACCAAAAAAGTGACTTTATCAGGCACTTTTTTAATCCCAACGTGAAAAACACGAGAAGGGCCAGTTAGCATCGAGCGGTCGGTGAAATCGGTTTATGGTGGAGTTTTCCCATGCAGATTGTGTCGATATGGTAATTGGTGTGGGCGAACATTTGCATGAGTGACAGAAAAACTCCGAGATCATGGTACCTTCAACTTCAAACTCACGATCGTGGCCGTGATAGGACAGAAAGAAGAAGTTGGATTTTCACAGCTTGTAGTGCATCCTACATTAAAAGAATACGGCCACATCCATACCATGTTGACAAAGTAAAGGGTTTGGAGCCCGCTGATTGTCCACGTTGTGTAACTCACTTTTTGTCCGATCAAACTCCACATGCTCGTCCAGAAATACGATTGCAAGAGACGGTTTTCGATAAATGTGTATCGGTTGGATGAAACAGTTTGTTTGTGGAAATCAACAGTGTCCAGAAATTATCGAAGAGCTTCAACGAGTGAAAGTGGTTTTTACCTATCAACACACCTCTTGCAACGCTCTGACGCCTGTATTGCTAGTCAAGGACAACATTTTCAACATTTCTTGTAAAAAGGTAGTAGCATTCTAAGTTGCTCTTATTTCTGTTCCAATAAACAATCTAAAATCGTTGTGACAAGGACCAAACATCCATCAGAATCAAAATTACCAAAAAACTTTCACATTGACCTTTAACAATGATGAATGAGTAAATGAATGAACGAATGATAAGCAGCAAAAAGTCGGTTTTACTTTTAATTGAAACTGAAAGTGTTTAGGTCGTTTTTATTCGAACGTTTTTCCAACTCTGTTTACAAGGTGGCTCAGTGCCTTCGTATCGAGGGTCGTTCATGGGGGTTTTGCCCCATTCGATTTTTAATTTGTTTTTTCTATATTTCGGCTCTACTAGGGTGGGGGATGCCGTGGTTAAATTATTTGCACTTATTTCGCAGTCACCCTGTATAAATAATCTATAAAACTAAGAAAACGATTACTTTGATCTCCTGAATTAACTTTTTGATTACCACTTAAATGGTAAGATGCTAATCAAAATTTGTTTGTCGTTCCTCAACAAAATTTAATTATACAATTATTCGAGGAGAAGTAATTAGGTTTAGACGTCGATGGAGGCCTTTTTAAATATTTATCATCATTAGTTACTGTTGAATCTCGTAGCATATGTTAAGTTAATAAAAATATTTAATTATTCTCATTAATAATTTGATATTTTCTGCTTCGTTAATAACACAATAATATCAAATGGATTACATCATGAACACAGGACGAATATTCCGTTTGAAACAAAGATGATGGTCACTTTCGAAAAAACTCGACAGTATTTTGTAAGCATAGATTGTCAAGTTAATTTGTGTGTTCCAAGTCATAATTATTTTATAGTTCCTAAAACTGATTACCACGTTAGAGATCTTTAAGTTAAGAGAGATTGATCTCGTGTCAGGCTTTACAAGCATATTTTAGTTTTTAAATTCTGATGTTGCCAAATCATTTCAGCTTTCTTGAATAATGCATAGATTCACAAGAATCGCAATAAGTGTTGCATATTTCATGGGTGGATACATAAACTTATGTGGTTTGTTACAGTGCTAATAAAATTGATCGTTAAATTAAATAAAGTACAATTTTCATATAATCATCGGAGTTTTTTCAAATAGAAGACCCTGCAATTATTAGTGGA